GACATGTCTACGTGCGTGTAGTTGGGATGCGCGGCCAACCTGTCAGTTGCTGGGTGCATGGTAACGCACACCACCTCGTGCCCGGCGGACACCAAGCTCTCCAACACCGCCGACATAACGTTCCAATGGCTATGTCCGGGGCATGGCTCACAAGCCAATATCCGGTGACCCGTGGTTGTCGACATGCAGCTTATCGACCACACGACGATGGCCAAACGGATTGCTCCGGAACACATGATAGTCTGGAAAACGATTCGCACTCGGCGTTAAGTTAGTGTAATTCTCTCGTACACGACATTACGCTTTCGTACTYGTGCTGTTTGGTTACATGAATTTCCTATATTGGTTGTGTAATGTATATAATATTTTTATTATGACCATTCATCGTATGTTTTATTAATTCCTATAAAATATTTGTGTATTAGAAGAATTTAGTTTTTTGTGACTTGGAAGTTTTATATGTGACTGTCAATTTCAATGTCAAACAGAGTTTGGTTTTGATTTACCTATACCTTACTTTTTCTAATCCGACGATGCCAAAGAACTAGTTTTCTATTGCTTGTCTTGAGAAATTGAGTAATGACCCCCACCAAACGTTTCGTAATAACGTAGTAACATAGTATAAATAAGTTTTCGTAGTATGTAATAATATCATAATAATCTAAACAGGCCAGGGCATAAACGAGTTGAAAAGCTAAAGTTAAGTTTATTTTTGTTTTTTAACTTAACGTTTTTTAATTTAATTTTTAACTTAACTTATTTTCATTGATATAAACTTAATAAATAATGAGTTACTTTTAATCAAATTTAAGTTAAGTTAATTTATATATGATTTAATAATAAAAAAAATGCAATTAATATTGATAATGCATATAACATGACCATTTACTAGAGTAGGAAATTATAAATAATATAGTTAAATTTATTTCTTGTTTCACTAACCAGAGTTCTTCAAGAAAAATAACTTAATTAAGTTAATTTGAGTGCCTATTTMTAAATCCAAACTGATTATTTGGTATGATTTGGTTGTTTTGAAGGATGGGACGTAGTCTTCTCAGGAGGGTCTTTTCAAAAAGTTTACCAAGAACTGGGAGTAAACTTATGGGACGGTATGATGAAGATAAGTGTTTAGGTTTATTTGGTTTGAGTACAAGTATAATGACTGCAAATTTCCAGATTTTTGGGAAGTGAGATAATCTTAGCATACAATTATATATGTGGGTGAGCAATGTTAAAGTTTTGAGAGACAGATTTTTCAGAATTTTATTTGTAATTAGGTCATTTCCAGGTGCTTTGCCTGGGGGTAGTTTTTTAATTATTAACTGAATTTCACCTGGAGAAATGGGTTTAGCAGGTATAGACGTAGGTAAAGGAGCTGTTAGAAATCGTTGAATTTCGATGATTGGATCGTTTTCGGGATCGGTGCACGAATGATGTTGAAATGTTTCGGCCAATTGAGAAAACAAACACATTTGCTTTGTCTTTGTTTGTAACAGCTAATTGACCGTTTACTGCCTGAGAGGTGGGATTTTGTCTCTGTGTCTGGTGAACCTTTTTGTTGCTTTCCGAAGAGAGCCGTTATTAGGTTGCAAAGATTTGATAAAAAATKTAAATTGTTTTTATGACTAGGTAACCTTGTACTTTGCCATTTGGCTCGAGCATAACGTTTATTAATTATTAGCTGTTTTATGTCGACAGGTAAGCTTTTGGAAGGATTTAGGATGTGTGGGTTAATAGGTSATGTAGCTTTAGTGTCTGCTTGTTRGATTGTTCGAAMKATATCTTTAGCAGCATTGTCTATGTCAAAAGGAGTCTTAAGTGCTACTTTTAGATTAATTTTTTGGTCCAGATTAGCTTTGAATTTGTCCCATTCAATTKGTCCATTAGTTAAGGAAGCTCTGGAGTTTAATAGCRCGTCACCAGTTATTGATAAAAGTATGGGGGAATTGTCGCTTGATAGATCACAGATATTTTCAATGAAGGTATTTATGTGATTTGGTATTTTGGTAATAAAGAAATCAAGTGTTTCAGGCAACCTATTCACATGAGTTGGCCAGTATGTAGGGTTTAGTGGGGAAATTAATTATTGATGGATTAAGGATCTATGGAGAGCAGAGGCCCTTTGGTTATAAGCTCGGCTACCCCAGAGAGAGTGTTTGGAATTGTAGTCACCACCAGCTATGAATGAATGACCCAATAATTTAAAAAACCTATTAAAGTCCTCAAAATCAATTTTGTAACGGGGTGGGCAGTAGATAGAGGCAATTTTAATTGGTATATTTTTTATTTGTATAGAAATAATTGTTGATTGTACATAAGGTTCTTGAAAGCCTTGTAATTCGGAGTGTTTTATATCAGAAGAAATAAGTATTGCGGTGCCTGCATGAGCAGAACCGTTAGGATGGTCAGTTTTGTATAGTGAGTAGCCAGGTATGTAAAAGTTTGTTTTTCGGGTGAAATGAGTTTCAGTTATAAGGGCTATGTGAATTTTTTTTTCATAGAGTAAATTTTGCAATTTGTTTTGATGTTGGGACACACCATTAGGAAGTTTGTATTAGCTGTTTTTAGAATGGTGTTRAGATTAATTATTGTAATTGGCGATATCGGTGTGTGCTTATCTGTGTTTATTATAACGCCAGCCAGTGAAGCCGGAGGCAACTTATTGTTACGCGGCATGGTATTATGTGATGAGTCACAATTTTAAACTATGAATATTTTTTACAATCGAGTACCTACATATCGTTCGTATGTATCAAATAATCAAGTGAAATAATCAAGTGTTATATTATACTATTTAATAATTTATTTCAAAAACTTATCAGAGGAATTTTAATTTAATATCTAACTTACCTTAAAAAATGATACTGACATTGATGAGTATAAGAACATAAACAACTTCAGAATTTTCCAAAATGGAGAGTGATGGATTTCAAAGGTMATTCATTTTTCTCTTATTAATGAAATATTTCATTTATTGGGTATATACTAAATCACGATCCAATATAAATTATAATCATGAACTACTACACGGGACTGGGCACTACAGAGAAAATCGCGGACATAAAGTTGTACGGGTTTCGTACACATGCGATGTAACTGCACTCTGCCTGTTAGTAGTACGAACTACGTTTTTTGTAGTACCTAGTTCATGAATATAATATCAGTTGTATCTTATCATTGTTATGTTTGCTAACAAGTTTAAGGGTTTTATCATAGTAGAAAAGATAWATGTATTAAACTCAAAGTTCATCCAAACTAGCAAACTAGAAATAGTTAAACAAATAATCACAATATACCAGTATGCCAGTTACAAGTTACAACTACTCATGAGCATTTGCCGATAAGGCGATAAGCATTTTAAAAAAAAGTTTTTAAACAATATTATAAGTTACTCACATTAAAAATGATTTTAATTAATTAAATCTATAATTAACTAATACATATTTGTTTAAACTATAATTATTACTATATTCAATAGTTGTTACGCAGTATCAAAATAATAATAAACCTATGTTTATCAAATTGAATTTGAATATATTATACAATACAATACAATACAATTTTGCATTTGTACAACAACAAAAACATTTGTAAAAAATATTTTTTTGTAGAAAAAACAGTACCTACTTCAAAAAAAAAAGCTAGATATTATCTCCTTCCATACTTTCAATCGAWCACTGTACTTAATAAAAAAAGTTAAAACAAGATAAGTATAATTGAATTTCTCTAGTCGTTAGAGTTAGGAATTGTTTGGTTAATAGCGCAATGTACCTATTATAATTTACATAGTTATTAGGTGAATATTATTTTTATAATCAAACATATTTTTGAATTATGTTGAAACTATTAGTTTTAGTTTTCCATAATATTTTTAAAAAGAATATCTACGCAAACTTTTTAAGCAGTTATATCTACTGTTTAAAAAGTGAAAATAAAATTGAAATATAGGTACTAAAATATTATTACGGAGCAGTTTATAATTAAAACTATATACACTRAAGAGTTTTAATATTATATTAAACCTCTCTAATAGCTACTATTTCAGTGTCAGTCGTTTTATAGAATTGCAATTTTTTAGTACACGCATAATTTATATTATATAATTATTCTGAACTTTGGTAGCAAGTAAATCGTATAGGCTATGTGAACACACGAAGCTAGCTTGTCTCGTGTAAGCAATTACGTGGGAAACGTCACGAACTAGATAGTTTTTAGAGTCTATGAAGTCACCCACACCCAACCAGCCAATATCCAATAAAAGCAATTACTGTCATATTTTWCACTCCTGTCGAAGTAAATACTAAGATACAATACCTATAMTAGTTAGATAATACTAAATTATTAAAAACCCACCTACAATCCCTTAAAAACTCAAAGACACCTATCATTCGATTACCCCCTTCGCAACGTCAATTGTTTATATGTATTTGTAAGATTGTGCGTCATTTCAAATTGGATGGAATGAATTTGTTGAGCATTAAGTGCAGAATGACACTCGTGATGAACCATAGCATCAGCAATGCCACCAGAAATGCAGTACATATGTCCAACATAAAATGGCTAGTCCACGATGCATCGGCCGACGATGGTCTGATGATGCTTTCCGTACCGTGTCGAATTAAATAATCGACCCAGTAGACGACTGACTCCGAGGGCGTCATGGGGCGGTCTCGAAACAAGGACGCCACCCGTTTGGCGTTTTCTGAAAAACTGAAGAAAAAAATAGACCTCYAAATCAATATTCAGTTAAATAAATTTATCTTGGYTAAGTATTGCTACATTTATAGCATATTATTATACGCAAAATTTCTTTCCCCCCGAAATTAAAATATAAAATAAGTAGATTCAAAAGCTAAAAGTAGCTATAAAATAAAAATAAAATTATACATAATATTAAGGCTTATGAGCCAATTAGTATTTATAGTTCAAGGATTTATTGGAGTTTACTATAGCAGAAAAACATATTTGAGTACTAATTCTCCCTTATATACTTTGCAGTACATTCGTGCGATAGTAAACTTAAATTATGTCGRCTAAACTTAAAAATTAATAATCAAAAACATTTTATTTGTGATTGTAAAAGAATTAATAACATTTTATTGTTTTTGTTTTATAAATTAAAAATGTCTGGTTTGAAAGTCATAAGTTAGGTAAAGATTTAACTTATGCTCAGACAATCTGTATGTAATTCTAATAATTTAAATTCAAATTCTCCGGTAAATTATATCCATATATTATAAAATCTAAAAAAATTATTTAAATTAATGGTGTAAATATATGGTTATGATTATGAATAATACAACGGGCTTTAAAACGAATTCGTCGAAACAATTGCAGTTTAACTACCACACGATTTTAAAATTTGTTTTTTGTTACATATTAATATGTACTTCAACGAGTTACGGACGATATCGTGAATCGTGATGGTGCCAAAACAAAACTGCGCAAATTATTATTTTTGAAGTAATGTCTTTACTATTTTTGCGATCTAATGTTATTACGCACACATACACCACGCTATACTAACTGCTGCGTGCAACGCTTATAACTGCTCATGAGTTTTGATTTTTTTTTTCTTATGTACTTACTATACTAACTGAACTTTAACACTAAGTTTTTGATATATTACTCCCTCTAGGACTCTATTATAATACGAGTAATACATTACATGACAATATTATGTTCTGATCGTATTATTTTGAAAATAATAATAATAAATATTATTTATAAAGTATCATAAATTCATAACGCCACCGTATAACTGACTTCCTGTAATGTAGCCTTTTGGTGCTTTAAGTAGTTTAAACTACATTCTATAGTAAGGCTGTGTGCCAATTGCCAATATTATTCGAATATTACTATTATGCGGTGCAGAATGCAGATCGATTGCAATACACTATCTCTGCACCACGTGTATACAACTTGAAAGTGTCATCGAACCGTCATACCACCGCAACGTTTTCRCCGTTTTCGGTTCGGTTATGTTTGCGTGGGGTCCCCGAAACATGTGACCGAATAACGAGGGTGAAGGGTCCAWGAACAATTGTGTCAAACCCGTACAAATAGACGTTCGTTCAATATCGTTTTACGTTGTGTTACTATAATACATTTTAAGTTAATACCTAGGTGTGTATTATATAAATCTATTTGGGACATGTTTATTGGGAGTGCTTGTTCATGCTTCCCCGATGCAATAAAATCACGAGAACTTATTTTTATAAATACCGATTTTGTGCTTTTTTTCTATTGTTATAGGCACGTTAGTAGTACTAGTTACCTAGTTAGGTATAGAACTTTTCAAAAACAAAGTAATAAATATTWTAATAGCTGCCATAAGTTATGTATACAATTTTACAGATAAAAAGTAATAATCTGTAATAGACAATTATTATGATAAATAAATTATTTTGATGGCATTCGAAAAATAATACTCCATGCGGTGTAACATTAATTCTATACTTGTGAAAAACCAAACTATATTGTTAGCTGGTATAGATATATATAACAAAATATGTCAACATTGGTGCTGGTTAGTACTTGGCAGTAAGGCAAACAAAAATATGTTTAATAAAATAATAATTATTTTGTTCTTTTTACTTTTGCAAGACTATGCAAACGTACTTATGTTTCATGATTGTTATATTTTAAAAACTTTTATATAATTAACTATTAATAATTGCTATTCATTATTATATTTTTTTATATTTACATATTTAAAATAATTATCCAAGTTCCGCGATGGTATCCCCATTAAGCCGTCAC